GCTCCAAATATGAAGACTGAGAGATCAAATATAAAGGGGCCACCAAATAATGTGGCGAAGAAGGCAAGTTTGGCTTTTCCAGAGTGTTTCTTTTACTAATATATCCTTCATGTTACGGTATTATATGGGGGTAGGAGGTATATACCTATTTTGCTAGAGTTGCTTTTATACACAAACCCGTATAACGCATCCAGAAATATGCTCCGTGTGCTTATGCCTCATCTCTTCATTGATGCAAGTTTGCCAGAGGATGTATGGTTTGCCCATAGAGTAGTTTTCTTTTTTGACCAAATTGCCCATAGAGTAGTTGTTTTGGCAGTCCAGCGGCTTTTAATAAGAGGATGATGGTAACGGCATGGTTCAGTGACAAAAGAGATATGGTATGTAGTAAGCTTTGTTTCCAAATGACAGAAGTGGTTTCGTGGTGTAGTTGGTTATCACGTCAGTCTAACACACTGAAGGTCTCCGGTTCAAACCCGGGCGAAGCCAAAATTTTTGTCTGGAGTCATCATATTTTTTGTACCTTTTCTTTTCGAAGTATTTTTGGTGTACGTTGCATTCATGCACATTTGGAAACGAAAGTAAATCGTGTGACCTGTACAAAATGACATACTGGAGCAGCATACAAATCCATTGCAAAACTAACCATGACATTTTTTAAATAGAATTCTTGATTGATTGTAGTTACTTTTTCTCTCTAAAAAAAGAAAAGATTGTATTACTTCTTAATGGAACATGTTCCGCCACAAGTCATGGATATGTAATTTCATATTTGAGGAATGAGATGTTTTCATGATCGGAGACGCTAACTGGACTTTAAACTTAGTTATATTTGATGTTGATTTTTTATTTATTTAGTAAGGCAACGACATGCATTTGAACCAGAAAATGGGAATAAATTTATACATTTGGACATGAAAATTTACTAGGGTCCATGGTATATCAGGAGACGTACCATACTTATACCTTTACAGGGAAGCTGGAGCCCTAACACTAGCAAACAAAATATTACCGCAGTATTTCCTCCTAATATCAGTCTGCCATAACCCCTCACTATTCTCTAGTTTCCAAAACCATTTACTTAATAAGCAAAAAATCATTACTTGAAGGTCAACTACCCCCAAATCCCCCTATCTATAGGTTGGCACCCACCTTTCCAGCACATAAGGTTATATTTATTGGACTTATCATCCTCCTGCCAAAAAAAACTTCTCATCTAGAATTCCAACTTATGTAAAGGTCCTTCAGGCAAAATGGACATTGAAATCATAAAATAAGGTACTAGTTAAACAAGTTCTAAGCAAGATTAATTTAACACCATAGCCCAGAAAGTTACCCTGCCAAGTACCCAACTTTTTATCCATTTTACCCCATGTTCCAATCACTATTCCTTACTTTGACATTATGCGGAGGAATACCTAAATATATAATGGGTAAATCACCACTTACACAAGTAAAAATGTCTCTAACAAATGTTCTCTATCCTTAGCCTCACCAAAACAACAAACTTCACTTTCATCAAAATTAATCTTCGTACCTAAAAAATGTTCAAACAAGCAGACGATATCTTTTATATTTCTAGTGCTAGCTAGATCAATGTCATCCATATACTGTATCATAGTAAAGCCTTCTTCTATTAACCTAGACGCGACACCTCTAATAAGTTGTTCTCTAGCTCTACTCACTAAAATATGTAGAACATCAATAGCAATATTAAATAAGATGGGGGAAAGAGCCCCCCCCCCCCATTAATCCTTTACCTGTCCTAAAATACTTACTCACATCTCACATGGCCATTGACCATTACTGCAATGCCACCGCTTTGAACTATCCGCTTAGTCCAATTAATATATTTAACAAGGAAACCTTTCATCTCAAGAATACAAAATATAAAACCCTAGTTAACTTTGTCATATGCTTACTCAAAGTCTATCTTAAAAAGAACCATGTTATCTTTCTTCTATGAATCTCACGTAAAACTTCATGTAAAACAAAATAAATCTATTCTTAATAAAAGCTACCTGAATAGGATCAATAATATTCAACAGTTCCGTTATTAATCACCTTAGTAATACAAATGGGTATATACATCTTAAGCATATTAGCCCTAGAGCATTTAGGAACTGAAGTAATCACACCATAATTTAATCTAGCCAAATCGATCCTCCCATAAAAAATCATTGAATAATTGAAAAAGAACCTTTCCCAACATATTCAAATAATGATAATAAAATTCTACTGGGAAACCATCCGGACCAGAAGGTTTATTATGATTCATTTGAAATAAAGCAACTCTATTTTTCTTCTAAACTAAACTCAACCACTAATTTATCTCTATCCACATCATCTAGCACACAGAAAATTGGAACTTCGAAGCAAACAAATCTTCCACTATTTTCAGTCCCAAACAACTCCTTATAAAAATCAGTAGATGATTTAACAAGTTAGCATCCCTTCTACCCCCTTCTTTTCGAGATACAATATGATTTCTTCTCCTCCTACCATTTTACTTTCGCCATAAGATAAGAAGAAGGAGCATTACGCGATAGAAGATCTCGCTCTTGAGCTCTTTGAATCCACTTAACCTCCTCATCCCTAACAATTCTATTGAGCCTCACCTTTGAAAAAAAAATCTCAGACTATACTTATGAGCAGAAAAATCTAAAAGTTCACTCTCTCTATCTATCTTGTCAGTGTCTTCAGTTAATTACATGGATGTGTATGGTTTTTTTACTTTCTTTCTTCACATGTACGTGTATGCATGTGCATGCGGGCGTGTGTACACATGCGCGCATGTTATGTGTGTACGTGTGTGCGCGCTTGGGCTTGTGCGTTCATGCGTGTCATGTGCACGCATGCATATCGATATCGTTCATGTGCGTGCGTGTGCGCTGCATGCGTGATATCAATAGAAAATTTAATTCATCTTCGGTGTGTTATATATACATCCGCATGGCGTGATGCCATCGATATGAGATAAATTTTTTTAATCTCCAACGTATACATGGACTACTGTATGACATGTGGAAAAATTATACTAGAGAAAAAATCCACTATATTATATGCTTATTTTTTTTAATAAAAAGTGCAATTTCTATGCAATTTTTTGTCATCAATTATTTTAAGTTTTTTTTCTTTATTCTTTTATATAATACTAATGTTTTTAATCCGTTCCTCCTCAGGAAAACTTCACCTTTTATTTTATCTTAGTTTCTGTTTCAGATTTTTTTCCCCCAGCCGTAAACAGGTGCCCTTTTTTATCAACAATATGATAACCTATATGTTGTTGTGGGAATGTTTTGCATTACATGTTAATAAAATTTGGTTGTATGAAGCATGCATATTTAGAGTAATATGAGCACTAAAACTGAAAATACATGTGGTTTTCTTGTGTTTGTTTATTGTACAGTTGTAAAATATTTATAAAATAACATAACAGAATTTTTCATGGGTGTTTTCATGTTGACGTGGGCATTTTTTATGCGTAGGGCTAGCTATTTAGATATAGAAGCTACACCTCATTTATGTTTTTTAACCTTTTTTAAAAATAACCATCACAGGGAACAAGGGAAGCGCACCACCTGAATATGGTCTCATTTTGGAAAAATGATGCAGTCTATAAAGAAAAACAAGTTGAAAGCCTAAACATCCTTAGGGGGGCCGAGGCAAGTACATAAAAACACACAAAAAAGGCCAGGTACAAAATTATAACGCAACACAATGATCAGCCTTATAGACATCAGATGGACCTAGGTGGTCGTTCGATGCGGCACATGTGATGTCATAACCACATATAGGGCACCACAAGAAACAAAGAGAAAGTTGTTGAGGCAACACATCGCGTCAGAGACAATAGAGAGGTAAACTACGAAGGATACCACTCGAGAAGGACAACACCAAAACCACCGTCAGGGGAAGACCACGGGTAGTCACGTCAAGGAGTCGTGCCATTACCAACCAGTACCATCCGCATCCGACAAATCAGGGGAAGGTTGGTCATATCCCTAGAGTGAAAATGAATACATGGAAGGTCTGGCTCGACAAGTGTGCATGAAGCGGAAGTACAATTTTACACCAGAAGAGTGATCATTGCCAATGGAAGAGGCGAGAAATAGTGATGATGATGATGTGACATGATCGTAGAGAGTGCCCCCAATGAAATTATCACTGCACAGGGCTAGTCTTGGCCCAAGGTGGAGTGTAAACGAAGGGCACTGTAGAACAATGAGAGGTCCCTTCAGGAACATCCGATAAAACAATGAGAGAAACAACAATAAGGCGTACCCACTGGTAGTTGTGTGGAGATTTTCCAGGGCTCACGAAAAATATTGATAAGTTCATCATGCGACATGAAAGAGATGAATGCCACCAACGTGAAAGAATAACATGGATGTGACACCACTGTCATTGTTGGGCGGAGCCATCGGTGGATTCCTCTCCATCTTCAAACCCGCCATAGAGGGAGAGAGGCATGGAAATGCCACTACTAAGGTGAGATGCGCCACCAAGGAGGCATGGAAATCAATACTTGTGTAGAGCATGTACGAATCCTTGTATTTACCTGCAACGATTTTCTTTTCAATTTCTACGTGTATAAACGATATATTTTTCTTTTCTTTTGGTGTATAAACTCCATATTGTGTAGACTTTTGACGGTGGATTAAGGAAACCCGAGAACGGGCAAAAATCCATCGCCGCCTCCATTCGGCGCCCAAAATTCGCGCTCACCGCCTAAACCGCCCAGAGATCCGCGCTCGACCTCCCACCAGCCAATAACTCTTCCCCACGCGTCTCAATCCTCACCGTCAACCACATCGAACGCCTGAGATCCTTCCACCTCACCAATCCGCGCCCTCACCCCCTCCACCAATCACACCCCCCCACGCCCCTCTATAAATCCAATTCCCATCTCATCCCACCGCAAACCATCACCAGCGCCCTCTCCGATCATCGTCCTCCTCCCCGCCGCAACCAGCCAGCCACCTCTCGATCCGTCCGCGATGGCGCCCAAGGCGGAGAAGAAGCCCGCGGAGAAGAAGCCGGCGGAGGAGAAGGCGGAGAAGGCGCCCAAGGGGGAGAAGAAGCCCAAGGCGGAGAAGCGGCTGCCGGCGGCCAAGGAGGGCGGCGGCGGCGGCGGCTCGGACAAGAAGGCCAAGAAGAAGGCCAAGAAGAGCGTGGAGACGTACAAGATCTACATCTTCAAGGTGCTGAAGCAGGTGCACCCGGACATCGGCATCTCCTCCAAGGCCATGTCCATCATGAACTCCTTCATCAACGACATCTTCGAGAAGCTCGCGCAGGAGGCCGCCAAGCTCGCCCGGTACAACAAGAAGCCCACCATCACCTCCCGCGAGATCCAGACCTCCGTCCGCCTCGTCCTCCCCGGCGAGCTCGCCAAGCACGCTGTCTCCGAGGGCACCAAGGCCGTCACCAAGTTCACCTCCTCCTAGACGCTCGTCCCCCGCCCTTCTCTCTCGTCTCCTCGCGTTTGATGATCGTCTTGGCCCCAGGGATCGAGGCTCGTAGTTTGTAATTGTTTTCGTTTGTTACAATGAACAATGGATGAATGGAATCGCTACAGATTGGTTGCAATATTTCGTCTCAATTCTCGTTCGATCGTTGTATATCAGAAAGAAATGAAGTTAAAAGAAACCAAATGATCCGTGGATCGTGTGGTGGGTGTATAATTAGTTCGTGGCGTTGTCTTCCGTAGGGTTGAGGAATTCCTTGAGGAGGCCGCCGGGGAGGTCGGAGCCGTAGAGGTGCCCCATCTTGGTCCTCTTGGTCTCGAGGTATTTCTGGTTCTCCTTTGTGATCGGCGAGATCACCGGGACCCGGCCCACCACCGCGAGCCCGTACCCCTTGAGCCCCACGAATTTGGCCGGGTTGTTCGTCATCAGCCGCATCGTGCGCACGCCAATGTCCCTGAGAATCTGAAATGGACAGCGAAATTCACCACCATCAATCATCAAGAGCACATCAATCCTTCCCAAGAATGTTAAATCCGCCATGGAGAATTCAAGTACGAACCTGGGCACCGATGCCGTACTCGCGGGAGTCGATGGCGAGGCCGAGCTCGACGTTGGCCTCCACCGTGTCGCTGCCTTGGTCCTGCAGGTTGTAGGCGCGGAGCTTCTGGCCGAGCCCGATGCCTCGGCCTTCATGTCCGCGTAGGTACACGAGGACGCCGCGGCCGGCCTTCTCGATCAGCTGCATCGCCAGGTCCAGCTGCTCGCCACAGTCGCAGCGGGCGGAGCCGAGGATGTCGCCGGTCAGGCACTCTGAATGCACCCTCACCAGCACGTCTTCTCCATCGCCAATATCACCCTACACATTTGCCACAAACGATAAAGATCGCTGGGGATTGAATCGCACAATCAAACGAGTGGCTCACTGGTTTCTGCTCTGATCGTTCTGTCAGAGAAACACAACAAGAATTTCATTACCTTTGCAACAGCGATGTGCTCAGTTCCATCCAGCTTGGATTGGTAGCAGTAAGCACGGAATAGGCCCCATTTAGTAGGCAAACGAGATACAGCGATCAATTCCACCAGCTTCTCCCTTTTCCTCCTGTACCTGAATTTACAACAACATACCGAAAATGAGATCGTATCAAAAGGGGTATCTGGAGGATGTAATTATCCTAACCTAATCACATTTCATTTCATTTATCTGCTTGATCTTGGAGAGCGGTTCAAACAGTACTATCCAAATCAGAATAAAACAGGTAATAAGTTCACAAAGGCTTCACCTTAAGGCATACTAACCGGATGAGATCAGCGATCGAAACAATCGGGACATCATGCTCCAAAGCCATCTGTTTCAGCGCTTGTGTTGATGCCATCGAGCCGTCCTTCGGGTCGATGATGGTTGAAAGGACAGATACAGGGCGTAAGCCGGCCAATGCGACAAGATCCACCGACGCCTCGGTGTGCCCGGCTCTTTTTAGCACGCCTCCATTCCGGTACTTGAGGGGGAATATGTGGCCTGGCCTTCTGAGATCACTGGGCCTGGAGTCAGGGGAGGCCAGAGCAAGGATGGTCTTTGCCCTGTCTGCAGCTGATACACCAGTGGATATGCCCACTCTCGCATCCTAAATAGATGGGAAAAAACAATGCTTCTAGTTACTTTCTTAAGTAAGGATTACAAACCTCATCAATCAGTGATTGTATAGTCCCTGCAACAAAGGTTATTGATCATAAGATTTTTACCACTGTCACTGTGGAAGCAACAGCTGAAATGTCACCAATTTCCGTGACCGGAGACATCATAGGAAGCATCAACCTTTCTAGGTCCTCTTCCTTCATGCCCACTGAGATGATGCCGGAACCATTTCTGATCATGAATGCAATTGATTCTGGGCTGGCTTGATCGGCTGCCATGATAAGATCCCCTTCGTTGTCACCCTTCTCGTCATCTACGGCAATAACAAACTGGAGAAGAATGAATAGTTAACCTTGTAACTAAAGTCAACTACGTTTGAAAAAAGGTGATAATTCATTTGAAGGCCCTGGATTTTGAAGCAAGCAACTTGCTACATGAAAATGCAGTATATCGAATATCATGATATTGACATTGACATTGTTCATCATATAATTTTGATTACAGCAATCACCTTGCTCACTGGCGATTTGAAAAAAGGCAGTCATTCAGACATCCTTGATAGTCCAAGCATAGCTTTGGAGTCTGCTTTACATGAAGGTACTCAATTACTCATAGTACAAGTTTACAACTACGGTTGCTTGGGAGAATAGGCAAGTGTGATTCATTCATCTTGTCATCTACAAGATGAAATGAATAATGGAGGCTGGAAGGTAGTACAGTTCGGCATATCTTTAAGCACCCGAAAAAAAAGATGGGCATGATCAAGCAGGGCCTATGTACAAGAGTTACATGAATAAAACTATCTGTGTTCAGAAAATCAGGAATTTCTTTTTCCCTACCTTTCCCTCCCGCAGCGAATTTATAGCATCCTCGATCGAGGAGAAACCCTCCGTCGGTTTATCAGGGTCACCCTCGGCATCACTACTAAAGAAATCTCCTGTTTCTTGAGTGATTTCAGCACCAACAGTTGTGAAGGAAGCACTGGACCCGTTTAGTTCTTGTGAAATTGGCCCATTCTTGTTCTCGTTCAAAGGATCATTTCGACGCCCTGCATCACCAATTGCATAGCACCTTAATCTTAAGCATCCCTTTCTGATAACTGCAAATCCTATACTGTTGAGACTAACAGAGCATTGCTGAAGCCTGCAGGAATCCAAAGTCAGCACAGATGGCAATCACAGAGAAAATTCACGAAATTCTTCGTTCCCGGCAAGATCTCCAGCGACAGAGGAAAAGGAAAGTAAGAATTTTACCTTGCGTTAACAGTGGCATGGGACGACAAGTGTGAGCTCAGAAGAACGCAGTCCATCTGGCGATCCCCGTTAACCGATCTTCTGAAATCAGCTCCGAAATATGTTTATATACCTCTATCGCCTGCATCGTCGCGACAAACCTCAGCCTATCGCTTGGACTTATCTGGTCATGTGGATAACAGAAGAAAAACCCACGCAATGTGTAGCCAGACTGGCCACATGTTTCTGTGCGGCAAGATAGAAGCAGCCACACGGTTCAGGTGATGCCAAGATAGCACATCCTTTTTCCCTTCATTCTTTCCTTGTGGGTCTAGTTAAGGGTCAAATGTACGTAGTAGATGTTGCACCTGAAAATGACAGGAAAAGTGTACCCCTTAGCCTGAAATTTTGGATGTTTTCTCCCGAATACATATAAACGTCTCAGGTCAATGTACTTATTTTTTCACATGAAGCATCGTCGCGGGTCACATTAACAGAATAGAGGTTCAGGTGTCCCAGAAAACAAAAGACTGAGGTTAAAACTTCTTCAGTTGCAAAATTGACCGCCTCCCCTTTCTGAGGTATACAATTTGGTCACAGGCTCGCAACATTTGCTTACAGTTTACTGAATAAGAAGGTAAATGAGGGTACTGAGCTCGACGATATGGTAGGCTGCCTGCGCCTCGAGGGTGGCTGAAGGGAGAAAAAACGTAAACTGATCGGAGGGAGCTCAGCTTCCTCGAGATCATAAGACACCATTTGCAATTCAGGATCAGTTCCGAGTCTCAACCATACGAATTCAGCACAACAGAGCAAAGTGCCAACATGGCCTCATTGCATCTTCATATCACGGGATTATGGAAAGTTTCAGGATACCCAGGGGCAGCAAAAAAGCTTCATCAGGCATTGCCAACATGACCACATCGAAGCAATGATATTAACATGACAAACTCCACCCGTTAATGATCGGTAAGCATGAACTCTTAGCACATCAGCAACCATTTCTAGTCACAATGATCCTTGACAAATAATATAGATATCATGTGGAAACATAGTCTCTTACAGAATGGATCTCCTAATTAGCGCGTCTAAAGATAAAAAAAATCTCACAAACATAAAATAAAGATAAACGATGCTTTTGGTTCTCATAGCCCTTCTGTTTTGGACTTCTGGCTGACTTTAGGCCCTGCCCACTGTTGGCTGGCATGGGACTTGGTCCATGGATCAAGAGGGGCACGCTGGGGAGGCGGTGGAGTGGCAGGTTTGGCCTCTCGAAGTTCATTCTCCCGGTCGACAAACCTGTGTATGACATTGGCAACAGATGTTGAATTCAATCTCACCACGGTATATAGTTTGTTTCTCTGCTGCATTGTGGCATGTTCTTTATTAAAGTCGGTTCATTTACCAGAGTGAGAGAGATGGGAAAACAATTTTTTTTCATGTCATGGCATCACCATTCCTTTGAAAAATATTTTTTTATAGGCAAATTCAGACCTCAATCTAAGTTTATTATACAATACGAATACACAAAGAGAACTAACTGGCACCATGTAGTGAAAGCACACTACTTGAATGTGAAGACCCAAACATAGTCAACACAAACAGTGAAAGTATTTTTTTTTTAAAATTAAACTATGATTTTGTGCAGTAAGGTATATGGAGTACAAACATACTCGATGTAAGCCATTGGTGCAGCATCGCCAATTCGTATCCTGGTTCGCAATAGTCTTGTATACCCACCAGCTCGATCCCTAGATATAAGTAGAAAGTAACAAAGATACATAAGATATAGCTTGAGAGGTTCTTCTGAGCATGCTAACCAGACCAAAATTGAAACCAACCCATAACATAGGTAAAACTTACTTGTAACGGTACGCAAGCTCTGTGAATAACTTGTGAACGACGTCATCACCTCGAACAAATGCCGAGGCACGTCTTGCTGCATCTAGTGTACCCTATAAAATAATAGAATGTCCATCAATATACCAGCAATTTCAGGAACGGAAGTTTCAAGAGAAAGAGCTTCAGAAATCATGCACTATATCCGGGCATGGGCATTTAAGTCAAGGGAGTAGGGACACTCCTGGAATGTGGAATGATACAATTTTCATGTACACAACAAAATTTTCTGTATCTGAAACCTATTTTGCGTTAACTTCATCGTTACAGGGTGACATTCACGACGCGTTTGGTTCGCGACTTCTACGCTGTCTCCCGATTACACCGGCTCACGATTGCGTTACAGGCGTTTGTTTGGATTCGGTTGATTTCAGATACCGTGTAATCGCAAATCATTCTTCACTAAACTGAAAACACCCGGTACAGCCCGGTATGGAATAACACCACCACTCTTCCGGATCGTTTTCTTCACCGCGGGGAACAGGCAGTAGCGCCGGTGATCTCCCTCCACCATGAGCAGCACCGCCGGCGACCCCCCTCCGCCATGAGCAGCAGCGCCGCCGTATCAATTCGCCGCCTCCTTGAGCAGCAACGCTGCCGGTGTCCCTTCATTGCCACCGCCATGAGCAGCGCCGCCGATGTCCCTTCGCCGCCACCGCCGTGAGCTGCGCCGCCGATCTCCCTTCCCCGCCGTGAGCAGTAGCGCCGCTGTGAGCAGCCGGTGATCTCGTTTCTCATCGCAAGCCATCCCCGCAGCCGTCCCTCGGGCATCTTCTACAAGGCTGGCCAGCGGCGGCGGTGCCACTGTTTCCTCTTCCCTTGCGTGAACCAAACACATCACGTATTCGCTTATCTCTGATCTAATACAGTGTATTCTCATTACAATACTGAATACGTTACCGCTGCTCGAACCAAACGCGTCATCAGATTTGTACGAATTCATTTCGTATGATCACCGCTGTAACATCACTGACAAACAGGGTATCCTTGAATTACATACTGACCTCTTCATGAAAGCAGCTTCCATGAAGTTTCACTCGTAATTGCTTAAACAAAAGAATGCTAACACTGAACATCTAATCAGGTAGTCAAAATCTCAGCAAGCTAATAAGTTTCCACGAGAGACTACAACAAGAAACTCATATAAGACAACTGCACCTCACTATAAGGTGAAGGTTTTCTATGCATAAGCCAATGTGTCCAGATCATGCCATTTTTCATCAGCATAGCGAGTATCAGCATCAACCATGAATGGACTCCTACACAGTTTGCCGCACAGGATATGAACCCTGCCGAGGGCAAACCTATCCATCTAATCAAGATGGCTGGTTTCACTACACTACTCAAGTAACAATCTAGTATACTGTCAAAATTCAGTACAGCAGGCAATGGAGGGCCGTAGGTGGGAGGTGGCGATTAGTGAATACTGAATTCTAGTAAACGACTTAAGGGCGTACATCTTTGCCGAGCTGCACCATCTGATCCGCCTTCCGCCGCACCTCCTTCGCCTGAAACGGCAAGAAGCAACCCATGAAAAAGAAGGGCCAAAATTCCCTGGCGCACGAACCCTGCACTCCTCCCACCGCAAGGTGTTCGACGAAATGCCGGAGTAAGATGAGGCAGGAAGCTACCTTGGCGACGGTGGTCTCGATCCGCTCGTGCTTCACCAGCTGCGACACCATCGTCCTGCGGCGAGAGGTCGGGAAGGGGCAGGGAGAGAGGCATCCATGGCCCGTGGGGTCAGGGAGAGAGCGAGGGTGAAACGGAAACAAAAGGGAGATGGGTGGAGCGACAGGGACGGAGAGATGGATACCTGAGCATCGAGACGCGGTGGGCGGCGTGGCGGCCGAGCTTACGGAAGTTCCCCATGGCGGCGGCGGCGGCGGCGGGAGCGGAGAGTGGCCGGCGGTCAGCGATCAGACGGGTCTGCCAGGCTCCGTTTGTTTGGTTCTGACTGTGTGCTTCAGTTATGGGCCTTCAGGGCCCAAAATTAGGACGTTCTTTAGGCCACAATTTCTAACAAGGCCTGTGCTACTGTACAGCCGCTTTTCTAAAAAAAAGGTTTTCTCTAAAAAACCAAAAAAAAGTGTAAGACTATTTGCTCTCACTCCACATCCACTGACCAACACATTGATTTGCAACTCTGGAAACTGAATCACTTCAAAAATAATTGGCAGTTGAATTGAACAAGCAGCTTAGGATTATCACACTGATTTGCAACTCTGAAATGAAAATTAACAGAGGTAATTTAAGTAAAGTGGAAGAGCAAAAAAAGTTGTTTCATATTGTTTTTTAGCTGCACAAATAGTCCAGTACTTTTTTTCATACGTTAAATAATCTGTCATATTTTTCTCAAATGTCATAACCATGAGTTGCGCAGCATCTTCACTCAAATTCAGTAAATCTGATAGAGATCACCAGTCTGCTAGTAGTATAATAAATTGCTGCTCCAAAGGTAGACAATCCCCAGTAAACTGCTAGTAGTATAGTAAGTTCGCCGTTCATCTCAGCCAAGCCTCCACAAATGCATCAGCTGCAAGATCCCCCGGCAACCTGCTCGCCTACCGAATTTCAGCGAAATAATGGCAGCTGAGCTGAACCTATTTCTTTCACGCTCGTTTCTTCCTGCCCCCCTTTCCCAGCTTGGACTTGCGCTGCTTGAACACATGCAGGTACAACTTCAGCCACAGAAGCGGATAGCACAGTAGCACACCCTGTCACCGCATGTTTGCCAGTAAGTGATCAAATGAACATTATGATAAAACAGAAGTAGCAGGGATGCAGGGTGTATCTGATTCGAGTATTCGACATCGACATACCACAAGAAATGAATGGTAGCTCATGGAGAACTTTGCAAAGAATCCTGAGTAGAGATCCCTTTCCTTCACAAATGGAAGAGCTTGGCACATAGTCCACACTGCGTACAGATATAGCAAGGAGAGTAGAGCACAACAGTGGATTATCAGATTAAGGAAGATTGTTTTTATAGGGACGATGTGGTGTGGAAGAGATTCTGAGCTTACTTTCTCCTGGTCCTACCCCAATCGGATACAGCGGGATAAAGGCAGTGTACCTACAGGCAGGAAGTTGTTTTGAGATAAAGCTGTATAATACTATAATCTGAGAACTGAGGTGCAATGGTCTGAAAAACCGCAGGGGAGCAGAAATAATTGCGAACGGGAAGTAATTCACATAGGATGTGACTATTTTACAGTAGGCTTTCCATTTTATACTCGCAAATAAAAGGGATTATATGTACTAGTTCTTTCAGAAAATAATAGAGGTCTTATGCTAATCAGTTGAGTTTATGCTGTGAGTATACTTTAACATGTTCGCGCCAAGCAATGACTCATAAGATAGGGCAGCATTTATAATCAAAACAAAATATAAATGTGAGGATTGACACTGCTAGGGGATGGAACCTGAGGTAAGTCATCCATGCTGGACAAACTTTTAACGTAGTCAGAGCATAGTGAGAGTATCGGATGACCTGCACAATGACAACAATATATTAAGCGTGGTTCAAAAAACTTCCCCTAAAATGTGGACCTTACGAACTATATCTCGTGAAGATTCTGAATAAGAGCCATTTTCTACCGCTAATTATTCCTAAAGATACCACATACTACTATGCTTGCTCGTCCGGCGTTTCATCAACAGGTAATCACCGGTCTATTTTCTCTTAACAACTGAACATAATTAGGTTAATACATTGAGAAAAAACTTTATGGACAGAACAACCCTTCACAATGACACGTTTTTGAACACACTCTTCATAATGACACCATTAATGCTGACATTACTAGCAAATTAGCCTAGCAACAGAAATATGGGTTCAGAGAAGAATCAAGCTGTATATTAAAACATGCTTTCAGAGCAGTAACTCATAAAAAAGTGAGAAAACGAGAAGTTATTCTGCCTTAACAAGTTTATATCAGGGCAATGCATCTTAAGAAGTTTATAACAAGTGGATCACAAACATAAGAGAGTAGCAAAGCTACGTCGCTCTCCATTGGTGTGGTTACTGTTGACTCGGTGAGAATAAGACAACTCATGAAAAAGTGAGAAAACGAGAGGTCATTGTGCTACACCTCAGATATGCTCCAAGCCATAAACGTTATGAACACAGAGGGACTGCCCTGAACCTGCATTTGCAATAGCAGACTGAACTTATCAGCCAAACTCTACTTATAGGAAGAACGAAGAAACTTGTTAAGCCCGTTGGTTCGTGCGTTCATCCCACCTCAGGGATTTGCCGGAGAAGGGCGAGAATGAAGTGAGTCCTCCCTCCCCATTGCAGGAAAGCAAGAAACGGCGAGGTGGGTACCAGTCCTGATGAACAACCAAAAGGGCCAACGATGCAAAGTCAATTCACATCGTCAACACGGGGACAATCCAGCAGAAGACGAAATTAAGTCTAGCTAGCAGTTCATCCTCCCACCGACGGCGGCATGGACGGTCTCAAGAACCGCGCAGGTCTGCAGAAAGCCTACAGAGACAGCAAGAAAACGCGGAAAAGAAGTTATCCGTCCACACGAAATTCAGAATTCAGATAAGAAAATAGAAATTAGGGGAGGCGGGAGGCAGCACGCACATATGAGGTCGCCGGCGGCGGCGTACGCGGGGCGGACGGAGAACGGAGGGGCTACGCAGGGCAGCAGGCAGAGCAGGGCGACGGACCTGCGGTTCGACGAGGAAGGGGATCGGGAGACGAATTGGTTAGTACGGGCGGGAAGGAATCAAGCGATTAGGGAATTCAACTGTTGCTGCTGCTGCTGCTGGGAGGTGGTTTGGTTACCATCCGATGGCCTGGAGGGAGTTGTAGGCGAGGAGGTAGAGCCGCGAGGGGCGCGCCATGGCCGCTGCGAAGCTTCGTGTTGGAAGTTGGAACAGAGAGGGTTTGTCCTAGGATACCAGAAGTGGCTGCAGATGAGTATTGACGGAGCAGTTTCTGTGGCTGAGGTTCTGCACGGTCGTCGCTCGTCGTCTGTACTGACTGAAGTGGACGGGAGGACTGAAGAAAGGTGGTGATGCCTTTTGGCATAATTTGATCAAAAAATGGGGTGAAATTTGAAATTACAGTTTCAGGGTATTTTTAAATCAGTTCGGTCAATTGTGCGAAGCTTTTCCAGAATGATAAACATATTACTTTCACACAAGTTTGAGTGTACCACGAAAATCATTGCAAGTCCATTGGTTAAGTGTACCACGAAAATTTGAGTGCTTGCATATGGAGTTGCGGCTGACTACATAAATGACTACATCCGCATTGGGGACGATACAATCTTCGACTGTGTGAATAGATTCACACAAATGATCGAGATCTTCGAACCGGGGTACTTGAGGGAATCCACTAATGAAGACACAAAGAGGCGCATAGCACAAAATGAAGAAAGAGGATGGTCAGGGCGCTTGCATCCATAGATTGTATCAATTGGGCATGGAAAATCTATCATGTGGCATGGCAGGGTCAATTCAGAAGGTCATTCCTCAAGACAATTGCATTAGAGGATCTATGGATTTGGCATTCCTATTTCAGATTTCTTGGATCATGCAATGACCTCTGTGTCCCGAAGAAGATGTGGTTCGAATCTTTAGGGGCTTCACATAGGGGGCATTGACCATTTTCCAGGCCATTTTGCTTAAGCACCCCCGTACCCGAGGGTAGGCGACCACGAACTAACTGCCAAAGGAAAATCCAAATTTTATGAGGCAACTTGCCCAAAGGAGACTCAATTCTTCCGGTCCCGGTCTTGCCACAAGTGCTTTATAAAGAGACCGAGAAGAGAACGGGCCATTTGGCTCCAGGTGCCGACCCATGGTATCCTGGTCCAAGGACTGTGTGTAAAGGGCTACACATTCTAATAGTTCCTCCCATTGGTATCGCTCGAAGGGACCGAACATACGTCTCAAGGCTAGGTTACCGAGATTTGCAAGGGCCGCTTCCACTGTTATGTAGGGGAGCGTAGATATATTGAAGATACTTGGGAACCTAGAGGCAAAGGGCCGATTGCCTGACCAGCGGTCCAACCAAAACAGCATATTAGTCCCTGAGCCCGCCGTAATGGAGGTGCCAATTCAGAGCACCGGAAGCAACTAGATTACTGATTGCCAGAATTGTGATCCTCCCGCTTGATGAGTGAATGCAAGCGGCTGTCCAAATTTAAGTTCCAAATTAATATGTTGTGCAAATTTAAGTTGGAAACTTGGAATGAACTCTTTATGCAAAAAGATAGAAGAAATAGCAAAGACAAATTTATAGGGAGTTAGTTTCATGGGAAGGGCCAGGTGCAACACGTTGGAGGGGATCGTTTGGGGAAGGATAAGAGATGCTCTGGTATGGTAATTTGGTTGTAAACGGACAAACTGGAGTAAAATTCAAGCAATCTCCCTGCATTCAACCAAAGGAAATTCCATTTCAGCAGGCAACCACAACCTTTGAGATTGTTGTTCTACGACCCTTGAGATAGTTGACTGAGAGAGCGGCATCTAAGGAGCTCCCATACAGTCTCTTCACAGTTCAGAAATTC